TGTGGCAGCTTTGCTACCCAGCCCGTCCTCGCTTTCTTCTGTGCTATATTCCAATTAAGTGGGGGGAAAGAAGGGCTGTAATGTCCCCTTTGTGTACCTTAAAATCTGACCAACAGCTGCTAGTTAGGTAACATTGCTTCACACTTTGCTCCCTTACTTGCCCATTTTTGCAGCAGCAAATTTAGGTCTCCRTTGGCATTTCCAAGGCTTTGAAGCATGAGGAAGATGATGGTCTTTGGTCCGCTTGCTTTATTGCTCCCATTAGATTTGTCCTGCTCCCTTCCCTGCACCTGGTGGGTTCTTGGGTAGTCTACCTGCAGTCACTCCTTTTCTTGAAACACTCAATCGAAACACATTTTTATGGACTTCCGTGAGTTCCCTTTCACCCGATAATGTATACAAAAGAACAATGTACTTGAAAAACATTAAAGCATTCTGTAAACTACTGGTTTCTTAGAAACTAATCAGTTTGTCTTGAAAAGGAGTTCACCGACAAGCTGTTTAGCCAAAAAAAAAAAAAAAAAGAGGCCTCTTTTATAATTATTTGAGGAGTTTATTTTTCCCACCTTTCTCAGATAAAATCTCTGCTGCTCACTGCATAGCTTGGGCTGTTGATTCCTCCAATAAATGGAGTTTTGAGCTCAGATGGCTTCAGTCCAGCTGCTGGGTCAGGAGGTGATCATTAGGACAAGGTGGCAAGGGAACATTTCCTCCCCTGCACAAAGGGTCTCATCTGGCTCTGATTTCTTAGATAAAATTTCTTCAGCTGGAAGTGATTGTGAACAAGGTGAGAATTTTTTTTTTCTTTATTCTTTTTTTTAAACTGCAGTTTTAGCTGTGGCCAGAGAGGAGTGCTGTTTGTTATTTATGCCCAGAAAAGTGAGAAACTAGCAGGCTGCACCTGGGTTTGCAGGGGCCCAAAAGGGAATATTCTGTGTTTTGTCTCCTGCAACTCGCTGTTTGTGCCGGTACTTCCACCCTTTCTGCCCTTCCTGGCCAGAAAGCGTTCTGATGACCAATCTATTTATGAAACATCTTCCTAAAACCTCTGTCTGAAGAGCATCATAGGCTGCTCAGAGCCTGGAGAAGCCAGCAGTGTCGCTGAAGGTGTGGGAACTGGTAAAACTGGAAGCGTTTGGGAGCGAATAAACACGAGGGAGCCCTGCTGCTGTCTCAGACTTAATATACAGAGAACGTGAAGCTCGTTGTGGTTCCCTTCAGAACATGTTCAGTGCAGTCCATGGCAGAAGAGCTATTCAGCATCTGAATTTAGAAGAGCATCTGCCACTTGTTAAAACCAAAGCACTTTCAAGGTGCTTTTTTTAATGCCCTTTTATATGCTGCCTCCCATAGGATGCTTGATGAGAGAGGAGGTGGCATGTTTTTCCTTATCCATTACTGTCTTTTTGTGGAAATTTGAAGTATTAACGATTTGGTTTTTGTTTTCTAATATAATTTGCTGTAACAGTGAAGATGTCAACATCAAGTTTCATGTGTTTGGTTGCTGTAGGGGTAACGCTGTAGTGATGCTGGGAATGTTGGAATACTCATTTCTCAGCTTCTACTTTAAAGGTAATTAATTGCCTTGCAAAGCATCTGTAGTTCTCTGCAGTCTTTAACATCCCCAGCTAAAACTATTTTTCTGGATAATAGAGAAACTTTAGAATTTGGACCCTTTGTCCCTTTTGGGTCATTTCAAAGCAGTAACAAATGACTTGGTGGCATGCAGCAATTCTGCAAGCACTCCGTCTTAGCTTTTATTACCACCTGCCTGTCGAAGCCGTCTGGGAGGAAGGATGGAAGATACATAAAAGTGACAGTTGCTTATAGGAAACTAAATAGTCCTCTGTATTTTAAGTTCATGCRTTTCTCTTGGCTTCATACCACAGAAAGTTTTCTAAAAATCTTCTTTTTATCTTTAAAACAGAGGTAGTGTTTAAGTGCATCTTAAATCATGCTAGAATACAAAATATACTCGACATCCAGYTGTCTCTTTACATATCCAATTATACAATCCTTGGCTAAAGGTTCCTGGCATTTATTTCCTCGAGATTAGTGATCTACATCTGAAGTTAGAATTGGAGAATTAAAGTTTTCCTTGGCGTGTGGAAGCTGTGTGACTTCGCAGGCCTTGCCAGCCCTCCCTGAATGTGCCATTGGAACATGAAAACTTGCAGTTTTCTCCTCTTTCTCTCCTTATTAATCCCTCCTTTTTGTGCCATCAAGAGAGGTGTTTCCACTGAACTTAACAATTTGTCTTCCAAAAAGAGCCTGTGATTGTCCAAGGGCTGAGCAATCTGTGCATAGAGATAGTTAATTACTGGAGTGTACCCAGAGTAAGTAGAGCCCYTGTTGGTATTTATTCTTTATAAAACCTTTGCATTAGAGCAGACCGGAGAATAACAGCAGAAATTGAGATGTTTTTCCTTGCCAAACTCCTCATTATCTGTTCCCAGTAACTCTTTGGCGGTGAGCTGTGTTTTCTTTGAATTTAAGCGATATACTCTAAATCCTGCTGTTGAGTAGTGGTGTGCAAATGCTACCTGAAATACAAGCTCGTCGCAGAGCTTATTACTGTGTTCATCTTTAAAAGCAATTTCATTTTCTTTTCTAGAAATAGCTGGTTTTGCACAGCGCGCCTCTCTCAAAGTGCCCTCCATCTGTTACAGCCTGGAGCTGCCGCCAGTGCTTTGCCTTGGGAGTCACTTTGTGCTGCTGTGGTCTGAGCAGGGGCCGACACGTCCCTTTTCACACTCGTGTCATCTCCTGTGAAGCTTCCGTGAGGCATATAAGCTGCCTTATGGCCTCATAATATGGCCTCATAATATGGCCTCACCGGGAGGCTTGGAGTGGCCCTTGCTGCAGCCCCGCTCCGAGCTGAGCTCCCGTGACCTGCCTGGGATTGGGATACACAGCGGCCAGAAGCTCCCCAGGGCTAGAGGCAGTCAACCTGAGCCGATGCTGGAGCACTAGTGTTCAATTCTGGAGCACCACTTTGGCAAAAATATTTTGGGAATTTTTATGGAGCGCATGATGTTTTTGGTAAGAATTACCTGTTATGTTTCACAGAAATCAAAACAACAACAACAAACTGCAGCTACTTTATTTTCCCTTTCAAATCATATTGCAAACAGTTTACATAAGARGTTGTTCCTTAAAAGCTGCAATTACTGAAACTAAATATAACTTTAATGATAAATAAGTGCAGGTTGATAACCTGCTGCGATGCTTTATCTGCTCGCTGTGCCCTCCTCTGGCCAGAGCTCTCTGCYGGGTTCATGGCGAGCGTGGCACTTGTTGCTCGCTGTGCAGGCAGGTCGGCAGGGAGAGTTTCRGCCCTTTCCTCCTTCCCGTCTGCTTGTCCTTTGCCCACGGTGCCATTTGTGTCCCTCTCGTGTGAGGAGCCTGTGCTGTAAAACAGACTGCCGGGATAAAATGGATGAAAAATAGCTGCAAACAAAAGAGCCGCGAGTCTGCACGGAGCAGAGCAGCACGTGTGATCCCCGAGGGGAAGGTAAAAGCTTGCAGCGCTTCCCCTCCTGCGTGTGGACCAAAGCCAGCAAGAAGCCGCCGTTTTCGCAGACGTGGTGAGGAGGAGGCTCCTTGCTGGAATTGCAGGTTGTATCCGTCGCCCAAAGGCACAGGAATGGGGATGGTGGAATACCCGTGTCCTCCCGTGCACGGCTGCATGCTGCACGTAGGCAGCTTAGCTAAGTATGCAAAAGCCTGCTCATTTTGTTTTAATTTGAATGGCCGAGGGTGGTTTAGCTGAATGCACCTCSTCTTGGGTACACATGAATCCTCTTAAATTGCTGCGTGCTGCTCTGTGTACGGATACTGCTCGTCATTGCTCCATGTGCTGGTTCAGTCCTTCACCTTAAGATTCTCCAAGAAGACTTACCCTTGACAAAGCATTAAGTCATGCTAAAACTGCTTATTTTTGTTACGTAGAAGATAGTGTGTTTAGAATCCTACTATTTGTGAAGTTGAGCCTTTTACTACTTAGATTTTGAAACGCAGTTAAAAGCATTTGCTTAAAGCGAGGTTGACTTGGCTTTGGATGCCGAAATCAGCAGCTGCAATCAGGTTGGTTGGGCATTAGATTCATCAGCAGAACTGCCAAGAGCCAGAGTTGTGCTCGGCTGCCGGGGATGTGGTTTATTGGCTGCGTAATTTGTCAGGTTTTGTCCTTTTAAGAGCCTTGCTCTGCCTCACACTGCTGCCCTCTGTTACCTGGCAGTTTGGAGCCTTCGCCTCTGTTCTGCGGTCGCCAACAGCAGCAGAGTTGTTGTGGGACACCTGTGTCCTGCAGGTGAGAGAAGGGTGGGTAAATAACGGCTGTGARGCGGCCGGTGGTAGCACCACCTGTAGATAACAGGCAGCGTGAGGGTGTGAGGGCTGTGTTACCGCCCTGGTGAGGAATTCTGTTTGCTGAGCTCATCCATTAAGGATGTTTTGTAAAGCTGCTTTGAGGATCAGGGCTTAGAAGTCAGAGATGGGCTGGCTATTTCTTCTTATTTCAACATTTCCCTCTTGGTAACTACAGGTGTCTTTTCTCAGCCTGCCGGCTGTTGGTTCAGGTGTGCGGCAGTGGTCGTTGCGCCTGCGTGTTTTCYGCTGATGACAGTTTAATTCAGTGCTTGGATGTCGTGAACTTCACCAGCATGTAAAGGAAATGAGCGTTTCCCTCTGGGCAAAGGGGATTAGGTCTGAAGCAGAGAAATCGGTACCAAGAGCTTCCCTAACAGCCGGGCTTTAGGAGCAGGACGGAGCGGCTGTGGATCTCGCTTTACTCTTGGGAAGGTACCTTGGGTGTTGCTGCTTGTAGAAGCCTCAGCTTGTTAGAGATCAGCTTTGAAACCCTCCAGGTTAAAGGGGACGTGGGGAGGCACTCGGATGGTCGTAGCAATATCCAAGTTGGATAGGGGGGTCGCACCTGAACCTTTGCCTCTGCAAAAGGAATTTTACTCTGGATTTTTTTTTCCCCTTAAGAGCTGACATATTGAAAGAATTGAGTGGATTGGTGTGCCTTCTCTTCAGAAAACATATGGTAACACTTGAAAATGTTTGAATGTAACATACTTTGAAGGGTTTCGGGGTAGGGAGGGAGGAAACACGATTGCTTTTACCGGTGTCCTACAAAACAGCACTCCTGAAGATCCTTTTTGTTGTTGTTTCTTTTTGCTGCTTTGGGAAACCGACAGGSTGAAGACCTCTTCTAACTTTCTTTCGCTGAGTTGTGCAATTCTGTTTAATCTTCAAACTGGCGATGTCAAGGGTGCCGAGTCCTCCTCCTCCGGCAGAAATGTCGAGTGGACCTGTAGCAGAGAGCTGGTGCTACACGCAGGTACGTCCGTGCTGCACCGAGACACTCGCCACGTAACGAGCTTAGAACCTGCAGTAAGACAGTTGTTCAAAACAGATGTGGAGCGCAGCTTTTCAAGGGATGTGAGACTCATTAACTGTGAATATAGTTAGCAACTCATTGGGTTTAATTAGAAGTTATTGCACTAGAGCTGTTAGCATGGGGAGGGGGGCGGTTACGTGGTTTTCTACAACCCTCAAGCAAGATGTGAAGTCTTCTCCGAGGCAAGAGTAAGAAATGAACTTTAGATCCCCATTCTGACCATTTGTCCCCTGTGGAACTTCAGCAGGGTTTGGGGAGGTTGTCATGGTCCAGTTATCGCTGCTGCCCATTTCAGAGCTAGGCTGACTTGTGCCTGCGAGTCATTTGYTACACAAGTGACTTGGTAAAACATTGATTATCTTAGTTTTTGCCTTTAAGTGCCCCACTGTGGGTGTCAGTAGCTCTAATGCTTTCTGTCTTTCTGTCTCCAGATTAAGGTGGTGAAGTTTTCCTACATGTGGACCATAAACAACTTCAGTTTCTGCCGAGAGGAAATGGGTGAGGTCATCAAGAGCTCAACCTTTTCTTCGGGAGCCAATGATAAACTGAAATGGTAAGATGTTCAATAGAGATAGGCACCCCATTTGGGTAACTGCATCAAAAACAGCTGTGCTGCACAGCAGTTCCTGCTTCCTTTTGCATGCAACATATACAGAGGGGAAGAATATTTGGGGGATAATGTTAGGATTCGTAAAACAAATGTAAAGATCTAGCTTTTCTTGCTTTTTTTTTTTTTTTTGATAATGGAAAACATTAAAACATGGAAGGCTTGACTGGAAGAAAGGCCATGTCCTGACTTGAAGCCAAGAGGTGGCATGGAGAATTATTAATCTATCTTTAAGCTTGTCTCAAAATTGATGCTCATCTAATGGAGTTCTTAGCAATCTCCAGTGAGATTCCACAGCTTGCATATGCGAGCTCTGTATCAGCACCCCCTCCGCATTTTGGCCCTTAATACTGTGTACTGTTAAAATGCAGTTTCCTAACTGCACTATAAATGTTCTCTCCTGCGACTTAAGGCTATTGCTGCTACATTAGCTTTCTCTTCATGGCACCTTTTCATATAGTCAGAGACTTAATGCAATACCTTGAATTATCTCTGCGTTCTCTACTTCCTTCTGCTCTGGAGTTCCTGCTTTTTTTGAAAATGACATTATTTTTACCCTTTTCCTGTCCTTTAAAGCCTTTTTTTTTTTTTTTAATCCTCCCTGAGTTCTCAAAGATAATTACCAGTAACTCTGAGAACTTCAGTCAGACTGTGTTCTGCTCTGAATCTTGTCTGACCTACTAGATCTGTGGGCATTTGGTTCATTCAAGTCATCATGACTTAAAATGAACCAGATACCATGAACTTCTCTTATTTCTTCCTTTGTTGCTGATGTTAAATCTTTCAGCATTTTTTGTTTGTTTGCTTACGTCTCCTTATTTGAGACTGAAGCAAATAAGGCACTCAATAATTTAGCTTAGCTCYGTATATATGTGTGAAGGAGAGAGAAGGAAAGGTGATTTGTGTCCCGTCTTTGGGTGGCAGACCTGTGCGTTCCTTGTACTGTTTTTTTTTTTTTTTTTAAATTACTTACCTTTATAACCTTCAACTAGACAGATCTCATCCTGATGCCTTGATCTCTCTGATTTTTTGTCCCTGTGTGCTTGAGCTGTTAGTCATTTGGCCTAGTTTTTGCTGCTTGTTAGACTCTGTCTCAAGTTTGGGGTCATGGAAGTGCGTGCGAGTTAGCCTCTTCCAGCACTTCATAGCTTTCCTTGTGTAGTATCACTTCTCTTTTTTTGCCTTATTATCCTGTTTTTGAGAAACAGCCAGCCTTCCAGGAATGCATTTTGCTTTGAGTTGCTTCCTGTGGACTCTTACCTCCCAGTTCTCTGAATTTGTTGTGCCGCTTTAATCCCTCGCCTTTGGTCTGCTATTTCTTTCCCTYTGTGAAAGTTGTCATCCAAGATGTTTTTCAGTATGTTAAGCTGCTCTCCTCAAGGCTTTTTGACCTGGTTTACTTATAGTTAATGTAGTTATGCATCTGCCTGTGAGGTATTGCCAGTCTTGGAGATGTAACAGGARTTTCTAATCACAGCACTCATCTATTTACCTGTCTTTTTATTGTGGTTCAGTGGCTGTTAAGCAGAACTCACTTGCTACACACATTATTGTGAAAATCGTGCAGTAGGTTTTCTTGGAAAGCCATGAATTACCTGCCCAAAACCGTTACCGACAACTTATTTGGATGCTTGTTTCTTACAGGTGTTTACGTGTGAACCCTAAAGGCTTGGATGAAGAAAGTAAAGATTATTTATCCCTCTATCTATTACTGGTGAGCTGTCCAAAGAGTGAAGTTCGAGCAAAGTTCAAATTTTCRATCCTGAATGCAAAAGGAGAAGAAACAAAAGCAATGGGTGTGTAGAAGCTCTCGCCTGTTGGGCTCGGTTGTTTGTCGCTCGCTGGTTGTTCACGCAGGTCGTTCAGCTGTTTGTTTGAAGCACCGTATCTCTCTTGCAGAGAGCCAGCGGGCGTATCGATTTGTACAAGGCAAGGACTGGGGATTCAAAAAATTTATTAGAAGAGACTTTCTGTTGGATGAGGCCAATGGACTTCTTCCAGATGACAAGCTCACCCTCTTCTGTGAGGTAAGTCTTCCTGTTCAGCTGAAAGAACAACAGTTCCATTAGCTTAAGGTAGATGCGGCTTCCTTTGTCATTCTTGCTTTTAAGGAGTCAGAGGTGTCAGGAAAAATATTGGCTGTTTTTCTAGTACGTTTGATTTTGTTTGTGTTTTAATTGTGAGTCATCCCATCGCTTTTTTCTCTTTTTTCCTTTTTTCTTTCTCTTTTGTTATTTTTGCTTTTGTCTTTTACCAGAGATGTTGGTAGGATTAAGATCATTGGATTAACATTTCACTTCTGATTTAATATTGCCATCCGTTTGTTCTCCTTAATTGGAAGACTTTGGAGATTAATTAAAAACAAGGCAAGGTCTATAGTGGGAACTGACTATTACTTGCAACTGAGCAAAGACAGCTTCCCCTTAGCTTTCCAAGGGTGTGCACAAGATCTACTTTGGAAAGAAATTTGTATGGCTAATTTGTGTTTGTTTGTAGTGTTGTTGTTCTACAGCTGCTTAAAAAAAAATCATGGCAGTCGGTAGTACATAGGTCAGACAGAGGTGCAGCAAGTTATTTCTAAAGCTTGATATTTAAGTCTCAAAACCTTAATGAGCAAGTTTAAATTCTGTAATGTCTCCAGAGCTTCTGGGTTCTGTTTCTGTTGTATTTTTAACTGAAAAATACCTCCTGTAGCTGTAATTTTTTGCCAAAGACAGGTAGAACAAGTTGTCTTCTCCTTGGATCTCCTGCTTTTTTTAAATTATTATTTTTTGTAGGAATGGATTCTTTTGCCCTTCCTGTCTTCCAGGTCAAGGCTACTCAACAGCTGTACTTTTTCTGCATTTTTGTCTGGCGATCATATATTTATATATTTAAATTAGCAAACATCTCCCAGTGTGCTCAGCCAGTTGTTTAAATCATTACTGTCCTGGAGAGAGCCCTTCTTTTAACATTTTAGCAGTATTTGGGACAGGAGAAGATTGTCTYTGGCAACACCTCCCAGATTTAGCAATTAATTCTTCATCATAGGTGAGCTGGAAACTTCACCAATGTGCAGTGACACCTAAAAATTAATATTTGAGCCAAGTTTATCTTTGCCCTCACAAATTCCTGAAACCCAGCACTAGTCAGCGCTAAATGAAGTCAATCCAGTCTTCACTCAATTCTTCTCTTCATTTGCTTGAGCTTAGCAATTTCTTTCTTTTTTTTCTGGATTTCTGGAAGAGAAAATTTGCTGCTGGCTTCACAAGGCCTTGTTACTTCGTACTTTCTCATTCAATTTATTGTACAGAAGTACAGAAAAAAGAAGTTTTAAGTTCATACAGTACTTAGTATTATAGTATGGTACCCTGTTAAGTTGGGCTGTGCTCAAGGTTTCCGTGGAGCAGCAGGTTGCTGCATGGCCTTCTGCTCCACCTGCTCGTTGTATTATTAAGCTGAAAAAGTCCTTTTGCTCCCTGTTCATGTCTTGCTCTGAACTCAGATAATGTCTCAATGAAGATGCTGTTAAGGCAGAGAATGATGATCCTTGTCGAGCGTCATCAAGTCTGACCTCGTTTACTTGTCAGTTGGGGAGTTTTTAGGCCTCCGTTCTGCGGGTGCGGTTTATTGTTCACATCCCAGCTGCCCTGCTTTTTCCTGCTTTAAATCATATTCCAACATAAGTGGTAAATCATATTGGCAAATCTCCAAAAAGAGCGGCATTCCCAAAGTTATGGCAGCAGCTCTTCATTGGGCTAAGCAGCACTATTACCCTTGCAAAAACGTTGAAAATATCTTAAGCAAAAGCATGACTACAAACCATAGACCTCAAATCCAGCAGCTAGTCCCACATTTGCTTCCCTGTTCCTCAGATATTCCTTCGCCCTGGTACAGCAGGGTGGTCTGGGCTGCTCTGGTCTTTTCTAATTGAGGCTGCTACAGAGGGCCTGTGCTTTATTGCATGTTTTAAATTAAGGGAAATAAGGGGTTTGGATTAAATAGACTCTTGTGGGTCCCTTGTTGGTTATTCGGCAGCCAGTGGCAGTAATTTTTGGTCTCTTTGTGACCTTGTCTGGTTTAGAGCTGATGATCGCTAAGCCGTGGGCCCTCTCCAGATCTTTCCTCATTACTTTGCACAGAGATGCTTTTTAATCCCCTTTCACTGTTTGATTCTAACACAGTTAGAACCTACCTTGAATTATTGAAGAAAGTGAGACGCTGGTGTCTAACCAGAAGGCATTTGAGTTGCTCTGAATGTCCTGTGCTGGGCAGGCACCCTTCTCGTGCATGCATTAGTGCATTTAATGCTGTCAAAGTTTTCTATATGTTTCACGTCCACTTGTGCAGCGGTCTGTGTTGCGTTATTGATTGGGGAGAGTTTTAGAGTGTTGATAAAAGGGGGGAAAAAAATAGGTCAAGGATGATGTCTATAAAAGCAGAAGAAATAAGGTTCCACTTCCTTAGGAAACTAACAGAGTTGTGATTTAATGGCATGGAAGAGTCATTAATTCGGGGCTGAGCAGAAGAGCTGTTAGTGTTGTGCAGTGTACCGGCCCCAGACGAGCACGGCCGCGCTATGGGTGAGCTTTGGGGGGTAATCTGGGGGAGCAGGGGGTTGGTAAGGTTAAAACAGGCTGGAAGGGGCGCCGAAAATGAGCAATTGTTGTTTGTGCGGGTTCTGTTTGGAGTCGAGGTTTGTTCTCCGGCGTGGGGAGGCTGCCCCTTGACCTGCCTTTCCCCGCAGGTGAGCGTGGTGCAGGACTCGGTCAATATCTCCGGCCAGAACACGATGAACATGGTGAAGGTCCCGGAGTGCCGCTTGGCCGATGAGCTGGGAGGACTCTGGGAGAACTCGCGCTTCACGGACTGCTGCCTGTGCGTGGCGGGCCAGGAGTTCCAGGCTCACAAAGCGATCCTGGCAGGTCGGTGTGGACTTGGCGGGGCCTTAGCGGCACAGGAGTGCTCTCAGAAGGGTTTTTCAGAGTTACATCTCATTTGAAGGAGCCTTCTGCAGCCCTTTTAACCACAGAGCTGCAGTAAGAGACTGTTCTGTGAACATGACAACTAATTATCACAGTACTGCTCCAGAGAAGGAAAAAATATCTGCTCTGTTTTTAATTGCCTGCCTCCTAGGACGAGGCTGGTAGGAGGATTTTGTGGCCATAGTGCACTGTCACGCTCTCCTAAAGCATTTGTGAGATCTTGAACAAAATCCTTTTTTTTTCATGAAGTCATCAAACATGCCTGGCCGTGTGCTCCCCAGCCTTGYTTGAAAGGGAAATTCTGGGAAATTCTGTCATACCTCGTTTTGAGGTCTGCACCACATTGCATTATGCCGTGACCCATCCTACCATTAAGTAGCAGGACAAATATCGAGGTGTTGGCAGACTTAGCTCCTCCTGGAGGAAAAATACAAGAGCATTAAACCACTTCTAACCATGTTTTGTTTTCTCCACTGCCATAGCGCGTTCCCCAGTTTTCAGCGCCATGTTTGAACATGAGATGGAAGAGAGTAAAAAGGTAAGTGCTTCAAGGAAGGAGAACTCTTCTCACTAGCTCTCTGCTCAGCTCTTAACAGCTCGAGACAGTTAACTGTCTTGGATAGCGTTTGTGACCGTTGTCACAATTTAACTGTTTCTTTCACATTAGATGCAGGTCTCTGCCTCAGCTTTCCCGAAGGGAGGACGGAAGGGAACAAGGAGGCAACTGTTGTCTTTGTTACTCTTGGGGAAAGAGACTGGGGTGGGATAGGGAAAAGGAGAGACATGAACCATTATTTAGAGCTTTCCTCATTCCATCCTCACCTTTTTGTTTCATTTCYTTTTTTTTCCCCACTAGTACATGTTCTAAAGATTGTTTTTCTGTAGCTTTTCTTTCAAATACCAAGAGAATATAGGTAGAAAGAATCCTTTAGCACCTTGTCAGGATCTTAATAAGCTTCGTTTTTTTGATGCAGAATCGGGTTGAAATCAATGATGTGGAGCCTGAAGTTTTTAAGGAAATGATGTGCTTTATTTACACGGGGAAGGCACCAAATCTTGACAAAATGGCTGATGACTTGCTGGCAGCTGCTGACAAGGTACAGTTGGGATTTATGGCTGTTCAGGGAACCAGCAGTGTGACATGTGCCTTGCTTTACACAGAGCTCCTTGGAGATTTCCTGCAGGAAGGTTTGCACGGAATCATTGTGGTTGGGCCCTTTCCTTGAATTGCTCCGTTAACTGGCTGCGGCGTGTAGAGAAACTTGGGTGTAGTATAGATATGTAAATTCAACTTCTGAAATAATTTGAAATGCAAATATTTGCCCTAAACCTCCACAGAACAAGAGTAATAGAGTACATTTGTTCTCTTACTTAACATACCACGATCAAGGTTTTCCTTCTCAACTGCTCATTTTCAGCGTTTTCTTAAAATTTCAGAGGTCATCTCTATCCAGCCTGCTCTAGCCTGAGAACTGGGGATGAGAAGAAAAATGCAGGATGGACCCGGCGATATTTTTGTAGCTTGCCTGTTAGCAGACCTCCCAAGCAGTGTTGTGGCTCGGCAGCCAGGGCTGCCTCTCCTCCTGGTCTGCCCGCTCTGAGCAGCGCCAAGGGACGCTCTGCGGCGCTGCCTGCGGAGTGGGAAGGTCCTGCTGTTTATTTTTGTCTTTTTGCAGCGGCAGCCCCTGCTGTTTGAGGAGGAAAGGGGCGCCCTGGAGGAAGGCCTGCTGCCTAACCCTGCTGTGCCTTTTGCAGGGAGTTGTCGGGGCTGTTGTGATGGGAAGGCTGCTCATAGTCCCTGCAGCGCCGTGGCCTAGGCAGCCAGTCAGGCTCTGTCCGCTTCCCTTTGCAGCACCAAGGACCGAAGAGGGTGGCCAGCGAGCCCCRTTAACCAGTGCCAATTTGTAATATATAACTGGAATTTTATTTCCTTTTCCTTTTTTTTTTCTTTTTTTTTTCTTTTTCTTTTAAAAGTGAACCTAGTGCTGGTGCAAGGTGCCAGTTTGACAGCACTGGAGACTAAAGTCGTCTATTTATCCATCAAACAGGTTCAGCACGGGTAGCAGCAGTGCAAGATTCTCCACACTGCCCTGCCACTGTGCCTCAACTCTGACCTGGAGGGAGCACCTCTAGGGGTGAGAGCGTAGTTCAGTCTCCATGCTTCTTCAGTCCTTGGATTCTCTCGTGGGTGCCAGTTAGGGTGGTGGATTTAAAGATGTGGATGCATGTAACCTTGTTCCACGCAAGCCACCACATGGCCATCAAACTCCCCGTCACTGCAGACCTGGGCTTAAATCAAAACCGGTGATTCAGAGGTGAAATGCTCCATATGCCATTAGTTGGTCCCTGTGACTGGAATAAAAATGGGAACTAATGCAAGCAGATTCTTGGGCGTATTATGATCATTGCCACATTTTATTCAATATTTGAAGAGTATTGATTGAGAGCTCACATACCATCTTTAACCGAGACAGGTGTAAGCAAGTAGTACATTAAGGACAGAATCGACTTTAACTTTGAATTTCTTGGCTTTTAATGTAGTTTTTTTTTCCCTTTTAAACTCATTGTGTGTCTTTTAAAAGCAGAAATAAAAACTCTTTCGCACATAAAACATCTAATATTTACTCAAGAGACTGAAACAGCTTCGTCTGAGCTCTTCCTGTCTCTTGGGGAAAATATGTAATTAGACCAAAACCAAAACAAAACACGACTTCTAAACCCGAGAGATACTATTTCAGCCTCGAGTAAGGACGCTACTAGGTAGGGTTTTTTTTTTTTTTTAAGTGTAATTAAGAAAGGGGGGAAGGGGAAATCTTGGTACCTGAGAGAGCAGAATGGCTACTTTTGCCCAACTGTGTAATTAGAAGCTGAGCTATTTGTAGTGAAAAATCCAAGCAAAAATTGTGCATGCATGGAGGAGAATATTCAGTTTACAAAGGGAATAATTTTAAGCCTTGTTTGCTGCATTTTAAGCTGCTGACAGACAATAATATAAACTAATGACTTGCCCCTCATTTGAAACTGTTTTAGCTGTTGATACAAACTAAGCAACTAAATCTGATTTGCCGTCTCAGATGTTCTGCTAGGAGAAAACTATCCTGGTTACGAGTGCCGCGCCTCACTTGAAGCAAYTATTACTGTTCAGGCTTAAATAAAATAATGTCCTAACAATCTAAAATTACTCATTTAAATCTAATCATTATGGAATGATGTCTCAATCGGAAGGTAAAATCGATTTCCTAGGGCAGGCGCTGCAGGCGTCTTGCAGAGCCGTGCAGATGAGCTGGCCGCCTGCGCTGCCTTCGCGTTGGGCAGCAGCCTGTGCCCATCTGCTCTGGACTCGCAGGGCAGCCTCTCACGCTGAAGAACTTGTGTTTGTGAAGCTTCATCATCTTTAATGCACCCAAAAAACCTCACGGATAGTGCGAAGGTTACTCTCAAAAAACCTTATGAGCAGTGTGAAGGTTACTCTCAAATGCGGCTCTGTCTTAGATAAAAGTTAACAATCCTAAGCTTCCTTTTTTAGAAATGTTACTCAATTTCAAGTGTTTAATCTTTAGGACAGCTTATGTAGTGCTAATGTTATTCCTCATATAAGAACTGCATTCGAATTGACTACTCTCCTTAGCCCTGTGATGGGTAATTGTGGATCCAGAATATTCAGAATTTCAGTTTCTTTCATCCAAAGAGCTGCAAACCTTATTATCAGATCCCCCCATACCAAGATTTTCAGAAGTGGCTCAGTCTGGTGGTGCCCTGCTAAGATATTCTAGCAAACTGTCATTTGGAGTTTGGGTTTCGCTCCTTGGTAACTGATGCCTCAAAGTGTCCRTGTTCAGAAAACTGTGAAGTCCACCCAAGATCATTGTGTTGCTTTTGAAACTCTTGGCCATGTCTGACTGTTTCAATTACTGACCAAAACTGCTGCATGAAAATTTATCCGTTTAATTTTACTTATTTAATAAAATTTATTTTATTTAATAGAGCRTGAAAATTTATTTCCAAGCGCTCCTTTTTCTAGGAGTATCCTTTGGCTTCCTCAAAATATTGACATGCTTAATCCTGCAGTCTAAAAAGGTGGAGGTAAATGTACAACTGAATGGCTAAAACCCCTTAAACTGAGAATATGAAGCTAGAACAGGGCTGTTGCCAGGGTTGTACAGACATGCTATGTATTTCATTTCCACCCAATATTTCATTTCCACCCAAGTAATCACCATAAATCAGGGGCCTTTGCTTGACGTTTTAATATTAAAGTGGTAACAAAGATTTGAGCAAGACTGATCTTAACCCACAGGCCRTTAACAGCAAAGAAATTGGGTGAAAGCTGCCTAAACATCACTGGAGCACCTATGGAGCATTCACTATTACATAGCTCTTCCCACTGAGCCTGGGCAATACCAGCGTGCACTGTTAGAGTAAAAATAGACATTCGGCTTCRGCGTTCTGTGCCTTGAATTAATAGAGATCATAGATGTAAAAGGTGACCTGAAATTCTCATTTCAAAGCATGACCACAGCACCAAGTAAACACCAGAAGCCTGGGATGAGAGTTCTGGTGGGTATTTTCCTATGCATTGTTTTCCTCAGGGTGGGCACACAATGATTCTCCTCTTTTGCTGGTCACTACTTCTTTGAGCACAGTTCAGATACCTCTTCGCTTTGCAAAATGCATTTCAGCATAATAGAGTAGCCTTTGTTACTGGAGAGTGAAGCAGCACAAGTAGAGCTTCAGTTTGGGCCTGACGAGAGAATTTTTCCTCGTTTGTAACTGTATTTTGGCTTGTATTTTACAGTATGCTCTGGAACGTCTGAAGGTGATGTGCGAGGATGCGCTGTGCAGTAACCTGTCTGTGGAAAATGCAGCGGAGATTCTCATTCTGGCTGACCTACATAGTGCTGATCAACTGAAAACTCAAGCAGTGGACTTCATTAACTAGTGAGTTTACCCTTGTTTCAGGATGCAACAAATCTGGAGTGTGTTTATATATGTGTGTGTGTGTGTGTATATATATATATATATGTGTATATATATATATATATATATATATAACACGTAAGACACCCTTTCCTCTGTCTTTTAGTTCTCCCCTGTGATCCTTTATTTAATTATCCTCCTGGAAAGTGTCATTGTCCTAAGGGCTGATTAGTCACGTCCTGCTGACACTGTTCAGTACAGCAGGGTTGTCTTTTCGGCCACCTTGAGGGTAGGCCTGTGATGCTGAGAACCCTTAACAGGTACTTGGATAGTGAGGGACTGTTTGTGCTACTGAATATAACGGTGCTTTTAGTAAATGAAAAATAACTACCCACTACTTTGATGCCCAGAAGTACTTTTAGCCCTACTGGTCAGTTAATACAGCTTGTCTCTGAACTGTCTATATTGATTTAAAACACTTAAATGCTTAAGGGGTCAGGACAGATAAGTGGTGTGTTCTTGTTCTCCTCCACCCGGGATCCTGTGTGCTTTGAGTTGCTAATCCACAGGTTGAAGAGCTGCACAGAATAAAATTGYGAGAGCAGAGCCAAAGCTCGAGTTTGGCAAAACATCTCTAACATACATTCAGAGTAGAAACTAAGAAGGATTTTCTCAGGCCTGTGAAAAGAATGTGTTATTTAATCTTCCTTTATCCTCGATCAGTAACTCAGCTTTGTTCTCTCTCATTTCTAGTCACGCTTCTGACGTGATGGAGACCTCGGGCTGGAAGTCGATGGTAGTGTCACATCCCCATTTGGTGGCAGAGGCGTATCGCTCTCTGGCCTCTGCACAGTGTCCCTTTCTGGGACCCCCACGTAAGCGACTGAAGCAATCCTAAGGTCCGGTTGTTCCACTACCCCATGTTTTTCTGGAAGCAACAGCGGCTGTTGCTGCTCTAACCTTGATCACCAGGTAGACAGCGAAATCTGTGGAGCTTTTACTCTGTTGTTGGGGGGAAAAGACTGCTTCGTGACACCCAGACTTTTTAAAACAGCACCAAGTAACTTGGGGAGAGGGGGGAGGGTGGGCCTGGGGCTCTGGGGCTGTTCAACCTAACGAATCCCTGTCGCTGCATCGTCTGTGTGTTCCCTTCGACTTGGCTGAGTCAATTACGTACAGGGCTCGGTTTAGGCACCGGCCCGAGTCGGAATCACCCAGCAGTGGTTCTGGGGGAAAGCAACGTCTCTGCGTCTGGCAGCACAGAACAAATCGTCAGATGCCTGGAGCAAGAGGACATTTTAGCTTTGGAGAGAGCGCTGGGGGTGTCAAAAGAATTTCCAGGGAGGTTCTGGAAAGGAAGTACGTGGTGGGAGCTCCAGTAGTATTTATATCAAAAAAAAAAAAAAAAGAATTTAAGTCTTTCCAGCTGAGCTAAAAACTGGACATTTGTGTAACTCCTTATCCAGCAACAAGAAGATCAGTTTCTCTGTTAGTAGCACTTGTATGTTAATTGCAAAAAAAGAAAAAAGAAAAAAAGATCTTTTATAAAATGACAGGTTGAAGTGAAAGGGGACAGTGAAGGGCTGTGTGCTCTGGAGGGTGTGAATAGACTGAAGGCGGCCCTTGGCAAGTCTGCACTGGTTTTGAAAGAACCAGAAAATCCTTGATCTGGAGCGTGCTGTCTGACAAGAGCAACGGTTACTGTTTTTAGATATTGTGGGAAATGTTTTTGGCATTTTTCCCTGCTTTATTTCCCTCCTCCCCCCTTTTTTTTAAAAAAAAAAAAAAAAAAGGAGAAATTTTATTGTTCATGAACGCTGCGTCAAAAGTCCCTGTCCTGAGTTGCTAAATGATTCTTAACAACTGTTTGTACCTGACTTGCCGACTGTATAGGAGCCAGTCCTGTTCCTTTCTATTAGTCACTCTTCTTACAGGGAAGAAGTTTCAAAATAGCTGGTAACTTTTTTTTTTTCTTTTTGAAAATATAAATAATTACTATTTTGTACTGTGTGGTATCTGTTGTCTTCTTTGTTTCATTTTTTAAAGACTTTTCCCAGCTTAAAGCCAAGCCAGGTACGGCTAGTAACATGCTCTTATTGGCATTCAAAGGGAATTTATTAACGATCGCTGCGCACAATTGCAATGCCAAACTGTATTTAATATTTCTCACAGCAGATCTTACCAAAATAATCGAGAACATTGGTTTTAATAGTAGCCACGTGAAGCTAACTTGTGGTCCTACATTTTACCTGTAATTACGTTTAAATGTGGGAAGGGAGAACWGTCTAATAAGCCATCTGTTTTATAACATTAAGGTGCGGGGTAGGGTGTCTGGCTCCAGGAGACGCCATCCATTTATGTCATCTTTAGCCCCAAATATGCGGGCAGGTTAGATTGAAATACACTGTGCCRGGGCTGTGGCAAATTGATTTGACCTTAAGATGGTCAGGTAGGGCACGTAATGGATTACAGAGAATAATTCTGTTTTGTCTAGAAAATAGATGGGGGAGCTGTTGTCTCTAATTTTTCATTCTGTTATCATACTTTTCCCCCCCTGCCTTTTGTCCCTCGTGTGGAGGAGAACTCCATTCATACGCTCCTGGGTTTAATCCCGCTGCAGTCTATTTTTATCAAGTGGTGACTCACGAGAGGGTCTCTGCCCCTTTTCGTGTTCCCCCACAGAGGCTCTTGTGTAAACACGCGCAGCCTCCTGTATCCTCAGCCTCCCCTCGCTTGCTTCTCAAATCCCATCGTACTCCCGTTGCTTGAACTCGGCCAATTCCTTTTATATGGGATTTAGCCTGCATTTCCTCCTAGGCAAGCCAAGCGTTTGGTCATTATTTTGATTCTCCCGCTGCCCCGTCAGCTCRAGCCCGGCGTTTGGAGCTGCTAATGACACGCAGACGTGGAACGTGCACGGCCAGGTAACTGCAGGAGCATCGGCAATGGCCCGTGACACTGCGCCACCCACGCAGCTCACGGGCATCTTCARCCCTCCCCAGCGAGACCTTCTGTCCTTGTCATGATCAAGTGACCAGCTGCTCCGGGAGCATCCCTGGCCCGGCCTCACCCTGAGATGTGGACGAGCCTAGGAGAAGGTAAAGGGCTGGTGACATCCCGATCCTCGGCCTTCTTTAAGAAGGTTTTTATGGAAAGGCAGTAGAGGTTTGGCAGCCTCTTTCCCTAGAGGATGGAGAGACCTGCAGGAAGATGGGTCAGTCCCAACCCTTCCTGTAGGACCCAGCACCTTCTCAGAAGATGCCATTGTAGAGGATCTGAAAGACAACACGCGAAGGAGAGCGGCTAGTTCAGATTTTTCAGTTGCAGGTGAATTAATGATTTATTTGTCAGCTTCACTTTTTTTGTTTGTTTTTTTGGCGGTGCTGTTTTTGTAAATGATACAGCTGAAGCCATCTGGTTATAACAACATCAGAGCTAGAGCATACTGTTCATAAACCTCCCACTGCCACCCTCCCCTCCGCGGATCTGAAGCGTAATTCAAGTTAACTCGCGATCCGCGGCGTGTGTCGCTGCTGCCGAGCTGTCCGTGCCAGTTGAGCAGTTGGAGATCCGAATTCCACAAGGAGATGGCACATTTATCAAAACAGGTTTTCAGAGAGAGGCTTTTGCGGAATCTTCTGAACTGTGGCACAGGCGCCGCAGGTCGAGGCGCAGARTCCAGCCTGGACCTTGTCCTGACGCGTTTCCTTCCTCCTCCTCCTCCTCAGGAACATCGCAGAGATGCGGCCCGGCGCTCTGCAGTCTTTTATGTGCCTCCTCCTTATTATTTCTCGCTCCTCTTTCCTCCAGCTGCTTTTATGTTGACCTGCAGGGCTTGCAGCCTTCATGTAGGTGCGAGGAGAAGAGAAATCCCTCCGTGGATCCCTTGACCCCCTGCAGCAGCCCCCRGATGCGAGCGTGCCCCGTTCCCAGAAGCCGGCGGCCTCTCTGCACATCCAAGCACCGAGAAGGTTTTTCCCTGGCCCAGAGATTTCTTCCTGGCTGCCCCTTAGGCTTTGTTATAACCAAAGTGAGATTCTCTGGAGGTATTTTTCGTATTGTGTGAGTTTTTCCAGATGAAAGGAAACAGCTTGTCTGCTTATGAGCAGAGCAAACAGAGTGGGGAGAGCTGCCGCGCTTTGAAACCATTTCCAGCTTTGTTCTGGGTCTGAAACTGCTGTTAAGGACAAAATACCATCTCTTTCATTCCTTCCTCTTCCTTGCAGAAGCCAAAAATTAAAAAAAAATCAGAAGATTTCTCAACTTCTGTGCAATTTATCTTGCAAAAGGCTCTGCTGAAATAATTATCTTGTTCAGTCAGTTTGGGCCGCGCAGTTTACTTGCGTTGCGGAATTACTTCTTTATTTGTAGTGACTTTTTGTGTTGTCGTTAATCTAATACGAGGGTAGTTAATTATGCGGGCTGTAATTTTTTTTGCCTCCCTGACCTGCTGGCCGCCGGGCTCCTTGGCTGCAGTTCTAGGCGCAGGCTGCAGCGAATCTGCAGCAAATTTTRGCCTTGGCAATTCCCTTGCGCGTGTTCATTTGTATGGATGAAGTTGACTTTCGGACTATTGTTGGTGCTGCCGTTGGGTGCGCAGCAACAGGTGGCACCGAAACAGGCGCCAGCTTCGTTTGCACARCAAGTCAACGGGCAAAGGAAACCGGGAGATGGCGGGGCGAAAATGGCCATAAAAACACCCGTAATGGGTAAATCAGGAGCTGGCCAGCTTGGGAGCTGGCCTTGAAAGTCTGAAGTTCATTTGGTAGAATTGAGTCTAGAAAAGGCACCGACTTCAGGGTTGTTTTTAGGTTTTTTTTTTTTTGGTTTGGGTTTTTTTTAGATGTTGTGTCTTGCTTCTTGATACATTAGACTTTGTATCGAGGACTGAATTATTAAAATCACTTGGAGAAATCTGTTAATTGATGGGGCAGATTGAGAGATGGTAGACGGAGGATTGCAATTATTCCATCAAGTTATGTAAAGTCACAGACAAGAAAGATAAAGCGTAGACCTCCCGCTTTGAATAATTAAAAAGCATCAATGGCCCAAAACAAGGAGAAATTAATATAGATGTGGATGATAAATCAGATGGAAGCTGGAACACCTTCTGAAAAAGAAAGTGTCCTCTTCTGGAGTGGAGTGTTGTGGCTAATCCCRCTGCAGGAACGTTCCTTGGAGCTGCTCTATCAGAAATACCAGTAATTGAGCAAAGATTGAAGGCGAAGTTGTTGACTGCTGCCGCTGGGGAGCAGTGCTGAGGACAAGAACCGTTCGTGTCTTTCTAACAAGCTGAAAATGAAGTTTTTTGAGCCTTGAAATAGGCAGACGTTGTAAWTCTAGGAGCGACGGGCTGAAAATGAGCGTATGAAACCCATTTCCAAACCATTGCTCGGTTCTTGCGGAAGTCTTGGCGGGCATGGAGGTTCTCCCGGGGCGTTTTTGGTCGTTCAGAGCTCCTAGGGAAAGCACTTCATCAAACTGAGGAATCTGTTCCTGGCACGAACGTCTCCGATCYGGCTCGTCGTGCGGCCGCTGGAGAGCGGTCCCAGCCTCGGTGAGGGCACGTGAAGCCCTCTAAATGCTGGGAACTGCTGRGCCTCTTTCCTCTTCATCCCTGTTTATCACCTTGCGGTAGGACATGCAAGGTGTTTTTCCCATTTTACTTAGCTTCCCAGTCCTGGGAAATTCTGGAAAATCCCGGTCTCTCCTGAGCTGGGGTGTCCAAAGACTGCTGCATTGCAGTTTGTCCCCTCCTTTCTTTCACACTGGCTTTTTTTTTCTGTTATTTTATCTGTTTTGTTGGTGTTTTTTTTTCTCTCGTTACCCCTCTAGGCAGGTGATGTTGGCAAACTTATTGCTTATTATTGAATTTGTGCCAAACAACAGAACACTCGACAGGAATAGCTGAGCAGGATGCCAACGCTTTCAGGCTGTGGGAGCAGAGCACGAGGCTGCTTTGCAGCTTGCAGCGATTCCAGCCTTTGCCGGAGACTTGTCGGATGCTCCGACCCTCCTGCAGGGACAACTGGGCAACGCTTGGGATAGCCAGGGAGGCCAGACTGGAATTTTTATCATCCTAAAATCCATGGTCTTAAGTAGGACAGTGGGATTTGGCAGATGGTTTTGCAGTGAGGGAACAGGAAGGTAGAACAGGTTAGCGAGGTTTTGTCCTAGGAAATGGATTTGATTTAAGGTGGGGGGATTGCATCTTCTTCTGGCCCTTTATATGGCCCTCCTGAAGGAGGGGAYGTCTTAAGGTACGTGAACTTCATCACGGGCAGCTGCTATAACTGTAAAACATTCAGGTATAAATGTATAGGCAGTGCTCTTATGGGTTATAACCGCCGATTCTAGATCTGATTTCATTAAAACGCCTTTGTGCATAAATAGTTTGCCTTAGCGTGTAAAGCGATGCTGGTTTGTCCAGGGTGGTGTTGCTGCCTAACTCTCATCCTGCCAAATTCAAAACCAATCCTAACAACGGAGATGCAACCGGCCGCCTTGCCGGCCTGGTTTCTGATGTGATGTGGCAGATGGTGCAACCTGAATTAGGTAGCAGGCATTACTTATGTGGCCTGTAAACAAAACCGAACTACAACATTTTCCTTAATGAGCTGGATTTATTTCTAGGTGCTGAAACCTCAGAAGTCAAGGAGAAAACGCATCCTGCAAATATGTCTAAATAAGCCTTTTTTTCTCCCGCCCATCTCAGCACCTTGGCACTAATTGCATTCCAGCGCTGTTTGGACTTCAAAAASGCATCATTTTGCCAGGTTTGAGCTGTGGTGGGTGCTTGACGACGTCACGGAGCTGCCCATGGGGCATCAGCGGCGGCTCTGGCTGGGTTTTGGCACCCAGCAAGCCTAGGTGGGCTCTGGGTGCCCGTCCCCTGTGGTCAGCAGGGCAGATTTGGGGGAGTTTGCGTCGCTCCCGCTGTTCTTGGCCGCGGATGYCAGGCCACGGAG